AAAATTATCCTAGACTGAAGCATGAAAATGCAGGAATAAAAAACACTGAAAACTGTTAAGTATGTACATATTACACAATTCATTCAATTTGTGAAAATTCAAGCTTTTCACATGATGTGGTGCAATGCAAATTTCCTGGTGGTACAACAGTTAAGCACTGATTGTTAACCAAAAAGTTGGTGGTTCAAAATCACCCAATAGCTCTATGGTAGAAAGACCTGGTGATCTGTTCCTGTAAAGATTACTGCCTAGAAAACCCTAAGAGGTAGTTTTACTCGGTCAACAGGATCACTAGGACTTGAAAACAATGCAACAGCACCTAATGATAACACCACATCTTTATAAAATAGAAATAAATCTATAGACATCTTAGAAGTCCCATGATTTTTAAAGTTTCTTTTAAAATTACCAACTAATTGTTTTAATTAATATTGAAGAAAAAATGTAAAGGTATTTATGACTCTAATATGTAAGCAGATCAAGCAAGAAGATTTTTTTTCTACTTTAATTATGGCAACAGTAGCAATTTTATAAAAAGCGTATGATTTAGTAGCTCCTTACAAATGTCAAAAAAGGAGCACTGGCAACACAATGGTTAAAGAATTAGGCTGCTAACCAAAAGGTTGGCAATTCAAATCAACCAGTCTCTCTGAAGGAAAAAGATAAGACTGTGTCTCTGTAAAGATTTACAGCTTTGGAAACCCTATGGGGTAGTTGTACTCTGTCCCATAGAGTCCCTATGAGTGGCAACTGACCTGACGGGCAGTGGGTTTGGTTTGTTTTTGTTTTTTAAGTATCAAAAATTTAACATATTTTTGTTTAATTATTTTTTAAAAGGTACAACTATTCCCTTGACTTCTTAAACTGGGAAGATGAATCTGTTTCTTCAATGTAAAAAGAAATTATCCCTACCTACAACAACAACAACTCTGGTAGCATAGTGCCTAAGGCATGTGACTGCTAACCAGAAGGCTGGTGGTTCAAACTCACCAGCCACTCCTCCAAAGGAAGATGAGGCAATCTACTTCCATAGTGATAATGCCTGAGAAACCCAAGGAGGGGTTGCTATGAATTGGATCCGACTGGAGGGCAGTGAAGCCTGAGGGCACAACTATTAAGATCTCAGCTGCTAACTGAAAGCTCAGCAGTCTGAGAGAAGCCTTGATCTGCTCCAGTAAAGATTACAGCCTAGAAACATTAGGGGGCAGTTCCACTCTGTCATATAGGTGGCTATGAGTTAGAATCAACTTGATGGCACATAACACGACGACTGCTACCTTACAAAGCAGTTATGAAGCAATCACATACGTAAAGTGTCTATTCTAGTAGACATCTGAACATGCTCCACAACAGTTCATTCCTTTCACCCTCCTCTCTCTCACATTAACATCTGTTGTTTTAGCAAACAGCAATACAATCTCCTTTAGTTTTTTTCTATTTCCTCAATAAAAAACAAGCTGTCAAAAAAACAAGCCCAAGTTGTCACTCCTGCTTCACCTATTTTCCAACCACTTTTAAATTACTGAATTCCAGGAAGAGGCAATCTACTTCCATAAAGATTTAAAGCCTTGGAAACCCAATGGGGGTCACTATGAGTAGGGATCAACTCAATGGCAGACAGTTTGAGGAGACAGGACAACAGACAAATTAGTAGTATTCAACCACAGGTTAAAAAAATGAGGGCTCAGAAGTCAAGTATCTTTTATAGAGGAGCTCTGTGACACCTATTGCTCTGCCTCTAAAGCCACCTTCTACATTTCTTTCTTTAATGTACACCAAGCTACATTCATGATTTTTCCACAAATCTGATCTTCAGTGTTACAATCCCAGGTTTTCAAATTATTGTGATAAAATTATTTTAGTCATTCTGAGTTTAAACCATCTGTCTGGCACTTTCAGAAGGAATTGCTTAAGTCATTTTATCCATACAGATGAGATTTTTTTTATTCAAAATGCAAAAAATGTTTCCACATCTGTTGTTTTTGTTGATATGTCACCTAGATTAGCAAATTCTTGCCTAGAAAGAAAACTGGGTAAAAACATAGAACATTCTTAATGTACACATTCTCCCTAATGACTCCATGAAGATTATGTCATCTTTCCATCTTTCCTTAGCTACTCTACACCCTGAGTCAACTGAAACTGTTACTTTAATCTCTAAATACAATGTCTAATTTTTTAAAATCAGAGACTTGTGTATTTGTAAAAGTTGCCCTAGGAATTAATATTAGATAGAGTTTCCCAGATGTTATTAAAGGGAGAAATATACAAAGGAAAGAAAGTTAAACAGTTTTAAAAACTTCACAGTTTGCCCTAAATATGGATCTCTTAAAGCAAAAACAAGTCAAACTAACAACAATCCACTGCTGACTTTTTCACTTCCAAGGAATTCACTAATTAAAATATCACTGGAATAAGATTCAATTTTAAAACAATACCTTTCATTATGTAGAGATAATGATCAGTTTTGTGGATTATTAAAATCCTTTCTTTCCTTCTTACTACCCATTAGTACTTTTCACTCAAAGCAAAGGGTAGTCTAGGAAATGGAATGGAACCAGAATGTCAATCATACTATACTTCCTCTTTAGGTATTAGGTATTAGGGTAAGGTTAAAAGAATTAACAATATATATTAATGAAAGTATTTATTAACAGATATTTTATTATTCCATCTGTAGATCTGAGACTAATACACAGCGCCTAAGGCATTTGACTGCTAACCAGAAGGCTAGTGGTTCAAATCCACCAGCTGCTCCTCAGAAAGAAGATTGGGCAAACCACTTCGGTAGAGATACTGCCTCAGAAGCCCAAGGAAGGGTCCCTCTGAGTCAGAATTGACTCGATGGCAATGAGTTTGGTTTTTTTTTTGGGGGGGGGGGGGCGGGGGGTGTTTCAAACTAGCAGAAATGATCAAGACTTACAGGAAGATGGGGCAATCTACTTCCGTAGTGATACTGTCTCGTTTGCTATGAGTTGGGTCCAACTCGACGGCACATAACAACAACAACAACAACAGAACATACATTAAATTTCACATACACCTATTGTCATATTGAGTACTTTTTCCCTTTTGTTAATTTAAGTGCCAGTTCTGGTTTGTTAGCCTTTTTTCACTTTTATTTTCTAAAGATTAAGTCACTGGATAAACCTACTTTGGCTGTCTCAAAATAGTTCTCTCAAATAAGCCAAAAAACAAGTCTCAACAAACTTTAAAAGAATGAAGTAACACAAAGGATATTATCTGACCACAATGAAATATAACTAGAAATTAACACAGAAGGGAAACTGGAAATTACACAAATATGTGTGGAAATTAAACATCACACTATTTATTAGACAACCAGTGGATCCAAGACTAAATCAAAAGGGAAAATCAGATAATATCCAAAGATGAATGAAGATGAAGACACAACATATTATGTGATGCAGCAAAGGCTGTACTCAAGAAAAATTTATAGCTATAAATACTTTATTGAAAAAGAAGAAAGATATTGAATCAATAACCAAATTTTATACCTTGAGGAACCAGAAAAGATGACTAAACTAAGCTTAAAGCTACTAAAAGAAGAAGTAAACAACAGAGAAAAATGAAATAGAGTACAGAAAAAAAGTAGAGAGAATCAACAAAACCAAAATTTGGTTCTTTGAAAAGACCAATTTCTATTTGTAGATGACATGATCCAATATACAGAAAATCCCAAAGGAATCCTCAAGAAAGCTATGAGAGCTAATAAATGGCAAAATGGCAGGGTGCAACAAAAATCAGTTGGGCTTCCATACACCAGCATGAACAATCTGAAAAGGAAATTAAGAATTCCATTTACAACAGCATTAAAAGAACACATAAGAAAAAATTTAACCAGGGAACTTGTACACTGAAAACTACAAAACATTACTGAAAGATATTAAAGAAGACCTAAACAAATGGGAAGACAATCTGAGTTCATGAATTGGAAGACTTACTGATATTAAGATATCACTACTACCCAAAATAATCTATCACCATCAAAATATCAAAGTCTTTTTTGCAGAAATGCAAGTCAATCCTCAAATTTATATGGAATTTTAAGGGGTCTCAAACAGCCAAAGCAATCTTGAAAAGGAAGAACAAAGTAGGGCTCCCCCCAATTTCCTATTTCAAAACATACTATCAACGTATAGTACTAATAATATTCAATTAAATCAACTCCAATACTTAGGAGGCACTTAAGACACAAAAGTTAATGAGTAGAGGTAAACATCTGTGAATATATTTTTTTAATATTCATGTTTAGTAAACAACATTTCAAAGAATAAAAGGTAGCAGGTAATATTCCAGTGACATCTTTCTTTACTGATCCATTACTGTTGTTGCTTGCCACTGAATTGGCTCCAACTCACTACTACCTGAAGACTTACCAAAAACATGTCAAAATTAGTCCATCCAGAAAACCAGTTAAATGTTTTCTACTGAAAGAAATATCACTAGGTGAATTAAGTAAACACTCTCAACCTCATGCATAACCAATAAAGAGGAAAAATATAAAAACTTTTCTGCACTTAAAGGCGTTCTAGTCCTGTAACAGTACAAAAAGAATTATGAAACCACATTGTTGTGTTATTGTTATGTGCCATCGAGTCAGACCCGACTCATAGCGACCCCTCCTTGGGTTTCCGAGGCAGTATCACTATGCAAGTAGATTGCCCAACCTTCCTTCTGAGGAGTGGCTAGTGGGTTTGAACTGCCAGCCTTCTGCTTAGCAGTCAAATGCCTCAGGCACTACACTACTAGAGCTTCGATGAAACCACACGTGATGAAACCACAAGTGATCCTTAAGGAGCTCCACAAGTTATTTCATACATTTTTCAGCTCTTTAAATCAGGCTAAAACCCATGTATTCTGAAACCATAAAGAAAATAAAACATTCTTAACTCTTACAAAGATTTTAAATAAAATTTTAAATTAATATTTCTATGAAGGTGTTTGTAAGTGCTTCATCTTTCTTTTTTTTGTCTTACCCTTATCTGTTCAGTAGAGCTGCTGCTAAGTTCGTCACCAGATTCTGAATCTTGATGTATTTTTTCTGAGCTTTCCCCTGCTGAATCACAGGACTGCTCCTGGGAAAAGCTAGTCTTTTCTATGTCCAAGAACTCCGGACCTGGAAAGTGACCAAATAAGCGTGTCCTATTCTGGCTGGGAACCTTAGGAGAATGTGAGTCACTATTAAACTTTCCATTATTATGGGCTGGGTCCAGGCTTAGGTTGAGAGTCTGACCTGGACTACAATTGGGTCCAAAATTCTGATTGGCATCACGAATAAGACCTGTTCCTTGAACAGATGATGATGACTTTCCAAAACTTGAAAGCTCAGGCAATTTGTTCACATTTTCTGTCGATCGCTGAAGATGTAGACTCTGTATCATTTTCATAGAATTATTTGATAGTCCAACTGTCTGTTTGACAGGAGGCATAAGAGCTTTGCGTGGGACTTCTTTAACATACTGGGCTGGCACATAAAATGTTTTGGAATTTTCATCTGGTTTGACTTGCCACCAGTCATCATTTGTCTTTTTCACCAAGATGTACCGTTCACCTTGTTTTATCACAATCTTTCTGTCCTTTGCTTCATATTCATAATCATATTCCACTTCAATATACACTTGTCCTGGAACAATCTTTCCACTTCTGTCAGCCATTTTTATTAGATGATATTCACCTCTCAAAAAGGATGGTATGCCACATTATGGCTTTCTGGCTTTTTGGATTAAAATCACTATTTTCATTTAAACAGAGGAAGAGAATGAAGAAAAACATTAATAAAATCTGGATTGCAGTATGTACTCATAAATATACAATACAAGCTACTTAAACAATATTATCTTTAAATCTCATTCTCCAAAAAATAAACAAGTGCCTAATATCTTACATATTGACCTACACAAAAGTATTTTTTTCATTTTAACTGCAATCTACATGTCTTAGTCATTTTTGACCAAAACCAAAATCAGTAACTGGAACAGTATATATATTTCGATAGTCAAAAGAATATCAAAAATAAAATATGAGAGCCTTCCTTCTTTTCATAACATCAAAACTCCTTTAAAAACCAAAACCAAACCCACTACCATTGAGTCAATTCCAATCACAGAGACTCCCACTGGGTTTCCAAAGCTCTATAAGCTTTTATGAAAGTAGATAGCCTCATCTTCCTTCTGCAGAGCAGCTAGTGGGTTTGAATTGCCCACCTTCTGGTTAGCAGCTGTGGTATGTTTGTGTGTCAACTTGGTTGGGCCTGGTTGTGTGGCTGGGCAGCTGGTGGTAGTTATTCCCCATGACAAGACTGGCAATCAGCTCCATGGTGGGATCTACCACAAGCAGCTGGGTAAGCTACTTTGGGTATGTGGTCTGCTTCCCGTATATAAGGAGAAGGCCTGGGGAATGGTCTCTAGCCTATGGCACGCTTGGACTCTGCATGGAGTCATGTCATTGTTCAGCAGCCTGCCATGCTCTGCCAACCTTGGGACTTACAACAGACTTGAATTAATGGCCTGCTGTGTGGTTTGGTAACATCGAGACTGTGCCGTTTTATTTGTTGACCTTGGGCTTGTCAGTCTCAGCAGCCAGTAGCTGCCTGAGTGAAGAGATGCCTCTAGCTTCATTGGGCCAGGACCAAGAGGAAGAGCTAAAGCCCAAGGATGAGGGGCTTTCACACAGCCCCTAGAGCCTGGCACTTTGAACTTGGACTTCTAGACTCCTGAACTGTAAGAAAATAAATTCCTGTTTGTTAAGGTCATCCCGTTAGTGGTATATTCCCATCAGAAAGGCACTAGGTAACCAGAACAGCAGCCAAATGCCTTATCCAGTGCACCACCAGAGCTCCTTCAAAACTCTTTTACCACTTTCTTAAAAAGGCCTGCTAATAATAATAACCAGCTGTTTGAACCCATGCAGCGGTACCACGGAAGAAAGGCCTAATGATATGTTTCCATTAAGATTACAGCTAAGAAAACCCTAGGGAGCACAATTCTATTCTGTTTAACACATGGAGTTAAACCAAGCACTGGGCTAGGTTCACTTTCACCTTATTTAAGACCGTCTGCAAAACTGGGGCTGGATTTCAATGGCCCAACTTTATTCTCCAAAAAGATTAAGGGTATTAATTAACTTTAAAAAATAATTAAATGATTGATTTTAAAAAATTGCCCAATCATATGAGTTAAGTTTCCTAATACAAATTTTAAAAAACGGAAACAATGCTACTGTTAGGGAAAACAGACAGAGATAAAAGAAATTGCTAGTTTATTTGGCTTCCTTCTCACCTCTAATCTCAGGAGGACCACAATACTTTCAGGTTGAAACTCACAAACAATTAGATATAGCCCTAAATTGGCTTGAGAAATTTAGCATTCATTTTTATTTCTACGGTTCTGGTGGCATAGTGTCTAAGGCATCTGACCGCTAACCAGATGGCTAGCAGTTCAAACCCATCAGCCACTCCTCGGAAGAAAGACCGGGCAATCTACTTCCGTAGAGATATCACCTTAGAAAACCCAAGGAGGTGTCGTTATGAATCGGATTCAACTCGACAGCAGCGAGTTTGGTTTTTGCTTTGGTTTTTAGAAAACAGCATTCAAGCTTCAAAACGATCAAATAATCTTGGTGCTGCTACAATGTAAGCCAATCCTCAATCCAACTACAGAAATTCAAGGATGATTTAGGCAAGCCTAAGTAATTCTGAATACTGAAATGTAAATCATGTAAAGTCAAGCCCCATGACAACCTACCAATTTTCCTCTGCACCCAAGTACTGGGGCATAATATTACAGTATTACATCTGTGTCACAGCAATCAACCATTCTACTAAAGATTAACATCCTTCTCTATGACAGATAAACTTCATAAACCTACATCGTCAATAAGAAAGTTACTCATACAATTTCAGTAAGTAAAATTCACTTTCTAAACCAACTACTCAAACAACCAATTTAAAGAGTCATGTTATTTCAAAAAAAAAAAAAAAAACTTACCTTGGAAGAAGGAGAAATAAAGATCAGGCATTATATTTAAACCTAGGGGGAAAAAAAAAGTTCATTAACTCTAACCAGGATTGCTTAAAGAAGTCTAAGAATATAATGTTGCTCACATGAAAAAGCTTTACTCTGTGAGCTAAAAGGAACACAGTACAATTTTATACACTGTAACTGCATTCAGTACTACTCTCCAAACATATATAAACACAATTACTAAAAACCAGGGAGATTTCCTTTACTACTGACTTCCCTTACTTCATTTCTACACTGTTTCAATTTCATATTTTTTATTCTGAGAAACAGGAAAATATGAGGTACATATCTTTTCACACCTCTGACTTGGAAACAATTTTTTTTAATTGTTTAAATGACAGAAATGTTTTCCAAGTTTATAGGACTAAATGGGTAAAGAGAATAAGTACAAACATCTTATTAATGCACAATACTGCATTACCATAATCTCAGGAGACACTGTGCTCAACTGGCACAACATAGTACATAAAAATCTTGTTCTGTATCCTACTTTGGTGAGTAGTGACTGGGGTCTTAAAAGCTTTTGAGCAGCCATCCAAGATGCAACTATTGGTCTCCTCTCATCCAGAGCAAAGAAGAGTGAAGAAAATCAAAGTCATCTGGAAACAATTAGTCCAAAGATAAGATGGACCACTGAGGACCTCACCAAAACCATTAGAACTAGATGGTGCCCACCTACCAATGCCAACTGCTTGGAAAAGGATCAAAACTGGAGATCCTGGAATAGAGTGGGAGGAAAAATGTGGAATAAAATTCAAAAACACAAAAATGACGAGAATTACTGGTTAAATAGAGATTGGTATAACCCCCCAAGACTATGGTCCTGAGTTACCCTTCAGGCCTAGAAATGGACTCACTTCCCTGGAATGGCTCTCAGCCCAACAGTAGAAAGATCTACATGCAGAACACCTACCCCAGGGTGATGCATCCACCTACTCTAGGGAGATACACCCCTTAGAACAACCAGCCATGAGACATCAGAGGGGCGGCATTCACACAGAGGGAAAGCTGGGCAGACAGGACTGCATAGAGAAGAAGGGCACAAGGAGGAAAGGGGAGAATAGTTTTTTATGGTTGGGGATGGTAACTGGGGCTGTGAAATCAAATGTGCATGAACTTTTGAATGTAAAACAAATCTACTTTGTAAATTTACATCCGAAGCATAATTTTAAAATTAATTAATTACAAAGAAAGAAAGTGGGACTTCAACTGATAAAGGGAGCCCCTATGGTACAGTGGTTAAGCACTCAACCTCTAAACAAACAAACAAACAAAAGCCACTGCTTTTGAGTAGGTTCCAACTCATAGCAATTCCCATTTGCTTTCCAAGGCTGCAAATCTTTACGGAAGCAAACTGTCTATCTTCCTTCCGTGGAGTAGCTAGTGGGTTTAAACCATTGTACTTCTGGCGGTGGTTGTTATTGTTATGTGTTGTTGAGTCGAACCCGGGTTAGCAGCCAATAAAACTGAAAGGTTCCAACCTACCAGCTGATGCCTGGGAGAAAAACGTAGCAGTCTGCTTCCCTAAAGATTTACAGTCTTAGAAATCCTATAGTGCAGTCCTTACTTGACTCCAAATTCATTTTGGTAATACAAATTGATAAATTTAAATTTATCAAAATTAAAAACTCTTGCTCTGCAAAATACCCAGGTAAGAATATAGAAAGACATGCGACAGACTGAGAGAGAAAAAAAAAGTACAGACGTCTTAAAAGTTGTTGAGAGTCTTAGTCGGGCAATCTACTTCCTTAGTGATACCACCTTGGAAACCCAAGGAGGGTCACTATGAGTCGAATTCGACTTGACGGCACATAACAACAACAACAATGGAGAGATCTGGCAGTCACTAGCTGAACCGAGCAATCAAACTTAGCAACATCAACAGTGAGACAACCTGATCATACGTGCCTCCGTATGTGATACAGTAAGGATACAATGCCATCTATACTATATTTTTATAAAAATGTTTAATCATAAGCTAATTATTAGTAAACAAATAAATTCAGAATGTGAGACATTCTTTAGACAATAGGTCTGAATTCTTCAAAAACATCAATGTCATAAAAAATGAAAAAGGGAAAGCAATTCTTCTAGATTAAAAGAGGCTAACAGCACATAACCAAATTCACCTGCTGGTGTAATAGATGCCTAAAACTTACTATATCCAAAACCTAATTTCTCTCTCTACTCCACCCTTTCCCTGCTGAATCTGCTCATCCAACAATCTTTACCATCGTAAACAGAAATGACAACTTTCCAAATGTTGAGGGCAAAACAATGAAATCAGTCTTAATTCCTTTCTTTCATCTCATACCCTACACATCTATAGCGTATCTAATCTACCTTCAAAACACAGAATCTGATCACTTTTCATCACCCTTGGAACTATCATTCTGGTCCAAGCCCCCATCTCTCTCCCTTGATTTTAGTAATAGCCTCCTAACTGGTCTCCTGGGTTCCATGCTTGTCCTGCTATATAGGCTCTTGTTAAAACAATAGCCAGAGGTGTTTTAAAAATATGTCAGAGCATGTCATTACTCCTTAAAACCGTGCAATTGTTTCCCACTTGTTAGGTGCCATAGAGTCAATTTTTGACTTACAGCGACCCCACGTGACAGAGTAAAACTCCTCCATAGGGTTTACTTAGCTGTAAGCTGGACAATGAGTAAGACCAAAGACAAGTTGACACTTTTGAATTATGAAGATTT